CCACACGTGTGCGGCAGCAGCGGGGGGAGGTCGGCCCCGGGTCACCCAAATGCAGCTGGAGAGGAGCGTGGGCTGAGGCTGCAGCGCCGGGAGGCTGCCGAGCACCTCCAGTGCCTGGGGACTGGCTCCTGCCGCCATCCCAGCTCCTCTCCATCCCGCTCCCAAAGTGGCCAGGCCACCCAAACGAGCTGGTCTCACACTTCTTGCAGCCCCTTCCTGTGTCTGGAAGTGCTGGGGAGAGCAGTGGGGGCAGCCACGGCCCCTAAAGCATCCCTGGCTCCCCGGCCCCTGCCCGCTCCAGCGTAGCCCAGACTTGTCCTCATTTCAGGCTGGGCAAACGGCAGCCCAGCCCCAGAGGTAGAGAGATGATGCCAAACCTCCTAATGGAGCTTGACAGCAGTGGGATTAAAAGCACAAGTGAGATCGCAACCCCTCTGCAATCAGCTTCTGCCCTGGAAGAGCTGAATCAGAAAAGAAACCTCCTGGCAGCAGGGAGGGGATGAGGAGCCCCTCACGCAGGGAGAGGGCAGCAGGGGCCAGGGGGAGCCTCGTCCATCCCAAGCCCTCTTCACTTGCCCTCCCAACTCACTGTCAGTAGGAAGGAGCCAATTTCCCCTCCTGCAGCAGCACCAGGAAAGGGTTTCACCAGCAGCAGTCCCAATTCCAAGCGGTCCTAAACTTTGGAGGCAGAACAGCCCAGGCCACCTGCCCCCATTCTTGCTGCCTGTGAGGTCAAAGCATTCCACAGCATCCACAAGGAGCTCCCTCCTTTCTCCCTTGAATGCTGTGCTTGGAGTGGTACCAGTGACACTGGAAGCAACACCTGAGCAAGGGGGGAGACCTCACCTGGATGCAAGGGGTGCTCAGGAGGACACCTACAGCTCTGCTTCTGTGGGATAGGGTGTGCACAGATCCTTGCAGCCAGCACCAAGCCCCAGAGCATAGCCCTGGTCCAACCAAAAGGCAGCACTGAGCCATTTCCCACTGAGGGATGCAGCAGCAGAATTGCTGCCCCATGTTTCCTTCCCGTTCCTTCCTGCCACAGGAAGATCTTGGCATTTCCCCCAAAGCCACCCAAAGGGGCCTTTGCAGAGATGCAGTGCTGGCCAGCTTGCCTGAGCCATCCCAGGGATGTCCTCCAAAAGGCCAGCAAGGCACAAGCACTGTCCCCATCTCTGCTCATCCAAAACCCAGCAGCCAGAGGCTGCTCTCCTGCCTGGCAGTCATTTTATCCCAGCAAAATGCAAGGTAAAACCAGGGCTTTTTACTGCAAGAAAAAGGGAGCCACTCCAGGGACCGGTGGGAAGAGCTGATGGGTCTTGGCACAGTGCTCAGGCTGAAAAGCTCCAGCTCCAGACCTTATTTTGCAGTGACCTGTACCAAGCTTTGGCTTTTCCCTTTTTCTTGCCAAATGGAAAGAAAAAGAAAGCCTTCCAGGTCAGAGGAAAGAAAAGCATTTACTCGTGGGTCAAGTGAAACAATCTGATGCAGGGTTGAATGCACTTTTATCCTCCCCAAACAAGGAAAAGATTCAATTTCCATCTCAAAAAAACCCCATCTAAAAATAAAAACACAAACGTTTTTAGGGTCAGAAGCACTCAATTTTGGTTTTCAAGCCCAAATGATTTTCTCAAGTGAACCCCACGTTGCAAAGCATGGCTTTACTCAGAAGTGCAGAGAGGTGGGGAGGGATGGCTGAGGCATTGATCTGGAAAATGCCAGCCTCGCTGAGATGGCACAGCCACAGCGAGCACTGCAGGGCCAGCCCAGGAGCACCCGTGTCCCCGGAGGGCAGCCTGGGAGCCCCGAGCTCCGCTCCTGCCGGGAGGGACGGACAGACAGAGGGAGGGAGGGACAGAGGGAGGGACGGAGGTGTTTGGCCACCTCTGCTGCACTTTGCTCATCCAAAGCGAGCTGTCACTTCCCATCCTCCTCGCGGGCCAAATCCTTCCTGACATCCCGTTTAAAACACAAAGTACCCGATTAGCAGTGCGGCCAGGCAGCCGGGAGAAACTCCTCCATAAACACCCCCCCCGGAACGAAATCCCTGCCTGGAGCACTGCTCCTCACCCTTCCCAGACCCTCCCACCAGGGCTACCTGGGTCCTTCTTGAGGTGGTCCAGGCGTGGCTCTGCTCTCAGGTGTGTGGCCCCAGCCATGGGAACAGTTTCCAGCTCCTGTTTGCCACCAGCCCAGCAGGGAAGGGCCACGGGCCCCACAGCTCCATGCACCCTGCAGGTCCCGAGTCCATTAGCAAATCCCCAGAGCACACATCTTGCTGGTGTTTGGCTTAACCCCAGCTTTTAGGGAGAGCTGCAGAGCTTCATTGCCTTTCAATTTTTAATTTCCTCTAAACATTTTGGTCCTCTCCCCAGGGATTATGAGTTGATCACCTCTGCTGGCAGCACAGCTGTGGGGAAGGGGAAAAAACCAGGGGCAAAGGAGGGGAAAGCAGCCCCGTCCCAAACTCCTTTGGAGGAGCAGGACCCCTTTACATGCACACCCTGGGATGAGAGGCACCCACACCAGGCTCCCTAGTGCCCCATGGAGACGCTCCACAAGGAGGAGGAAGGGGGATGACTCCAGATCCCTCCAGGAGGGACATGACACCTGCAGGAACAGGGCTGTTGCAGGGCAGAGCAGAGTACCCTCATTCTTCCATCAGATACCTCTGTGGGTCTGGGATCCCTAAAAACGGACAAGGTTTATCCCAGTGCCTGGCACAGCCACCCCTCCTTCCTCACCACCTGGCACTGGCACACAGCAGAGCCCAGGAGCAAGGGTATGAATACAGCATCACTTTCCAGTCCCTGAGGTATCTTTGTCTTTTTTCCACTGCCTTAGGCAACAAATGTACAAACAGGGACCTGCTGGGCATGAGGAATGTGAGCTGAACTGCTTTGGGAAGGGAGATGCCAGCACAGAGCTGGGAAGGGCAGCTCAGATCACCGGGAGCAGGGGAGCAGCTCCTGGTGGCTTTTCTGTCCCTCAGGTGCTGGGGGGGTCCAGGCTCAGGGTTAAGGTTCAGTTCTCCACCTTTTATCTTGATTGAAAGTGAACGGAAAAAAAACCAAGCACTAGAAGACAAAATGTGAGTGGCAGAGACTCAAAGGAAAAAGAAATCCTGATCAGCATGAGGAAAGGTACATGGAATAGCAGCAAGGCTCTGTAGCCCACCTTCAACAGGTACCCAGGGGGGCAAAAAGAGTGATGTGCCCAGAATATATTCCCTCCACACTCAAACTGGCAGGTTTGGGAGTTCCCAAAGCACAGGGATACTGTTTGACACTTGCTGGCTCCCTCCCACACATTTGCTGCTACCTTTCTGCACACATGTAAGCTCCCAGCATCCACACAGCACCTTCCAGACCCCACAGCATCTCCCCATTCTCAATTTCCTGAGACAGCAGTGGGACTCATTCCCAAAGCTCCCAGCTGCATGCCCAGGCAGCCTGGGGACCTGCTGCACTGCAGGAAGGGAGCAGGACAGAGGCAGCTCCTGCGGGGCACAGGGACATGCCCACTGAGCAGGATGTTCTCCAGCTCCTCACCTCCCAGGCCCCCGAGGAGTTTGAGGCTGCAGGGAGCTGAGCTGCTGAGCACTGGCCTCGGCTGCCACCTAGCAGTGACCCAGCAGCAGCAGCAGGGATACACTGACAGCTCTGCTGCAGCCCAGGTGATGCCTCAGGTTTGAGCTTTTATATTTTTCAGGTTCTGTGCTGCTTTGGTGTGTGGGTCTGGGCTTCTTATTAGGGGATGGTGAGCTCTCTGCACAGAGCAGGGAGACAAAACAATTCCTTCTCCAGCTGGGGACCAAGGACAAATGATCCAAATCTCAGCCCAAGAGCACAAACAACGTGGAATGAAGAGAGAAAAACAAGGATGGGACTGCATGGGCTAAAGCTGTAACTGGACGGTTAATTCCAATCTGCAAATGGAGCAGAACTCATAAAGGTGAGAGACCTCGTGACCACTTGTCCATGTTGTGGCCATTTTGGGTTGTGCTGCCCAAGGTGGATCCATTGAGGACTCTTAAAAAATCCCTGCTTTATTCTCTAGCTCCATCTAGTCTCTGTTCTAAGTCAGCCTTCACAAGGCTTCACAGGGAGGTGGCAGGTTGGGTCTGGGAGACATCCTGCACCATGTGGAATTTTAGGGGGCATCAGCTCACTGAGGAGCCACAGGCCCCTGGTCACAAACCCCAGCCCTTTTCCAAGGGGAACAAAACTCACCACCCCATTTTCCTGAGGTCAGTTTGCAGGAGGCACTTGGCACTGCCAGAGCAGCCCGAGTGAAAAGAGGATCTGGGGAGCTTCTCAGGACACCCCACTGTGGCCCCAGCTGTCACCTCCCTGAAAAAGGGGGCTCTGCAGCAGAGGCTGAGCTCTGAGCAAGCTCAGTGATGAATGACAAAAATGTGCAGTGAGTGCCCCAGCCCAAACATGGCACCAGAGAAGTCAGGAAACCTCTGAAGCTCCCCACAGGGCTGGACAGCCCCTGCTCCTCAGCATTCTCCTTCCATCTCCTTCATTAGCTTTCCCAGCAGCTGCTTTTTAACCAGCCACAGATTTTTGGTTTTTAGCTGTTTCATATCCCAAACCACCCTTAAATGCTGAAATAAAAAAAAAAAAAAAGTGAAAGAATAATACAATGGTTTGGGTTGGAAGAGAGCTTTAAAGATCAACTTGTCCAATCCACAAATGTCTTATGCTGGGCTTTTACCCATTCCAGTATTACTGCTAGTATAATTCAGATTTTCTTGGTGGTCTGCAGAGGAAGATAGCTCTGCCATGGTTGCAGGTGGGTACAGAATGGCCCTTGAAGCCCCTGAAGATGTAAGGAACACTCCAGGTACCAGAAAAGCAGCTGGATGCCAGCATTCCTAACCAGGGCACTTCTGTTTTCACAGCTTTTCTCTGCATTAACACCCAGTAGGATCACTTGCCACAGGCAAAGAGCTACACAAACATGGTCAAGCTTCAGGCTCTCTCTCACTGGATTCCTTACAGATTTTATTCCATATCTTTAAGATGAGATTCCTGACACTTTGTACACATGACATCCAACAAATCACAGCATCTTCTTTTTGGGGAGGGAGGTTTCTTCAACTTTCCTCAGAGCAAGGAGAGTGTAGAGCAGCCACTATATTAAAAATCAAATCACATCCCCACACAATGTCCAAACAGCTCATGCACTGAAGGAAGGAGGGCTGGGCAGCCAATTTCCCTCTCTTAAACTTAAAGGATACATAACACAATGTGACACTTGGATGTTCTCCTGAACCATTATATTAAAGAGCAGTAACTCAGTACACCACCGGTACAACAAAACCAAACTACTCTCCTGAAAGCAAAACCAACATTTATCACCCATGCTGGGCACACCTGAGATATCACACTCCAGGCTTTTTCAAGGGATTAAACATTTCTGAACAAAAAAACCCCAATAACAGGGTCTATACAGAGAGTCTGTGCTGCTCCAGACAGCCTTCCTTGGCAGCAGCTCCAGCTTCTCCCCTCCTATCTCACTTTCCTTCTCAGGCTGGGCAGCCACTGGAAGCAGGCATGGGAAGTGGCCAGTCATGCAGCTGCCAACACTGCAGAGAGCAGGGCAGGAGGGACACACAGTTCCTGAGGTGGCCCAGGGTCACAGAGCCCAGAGCATGGCAGAGGCCAACCATGAGACTGCTGGGAAGGTGTTGGTCTTCATGTTTTCTTCATCTGCATAAAGGAACACAGAAAAGAAAGATCAAATCTGCACAAGCAAATCCAAGAGCTCCAGTTGAGACTGAAATCCCTTTTGCCTGGGCCTCACCAGGTCATGGAAAGAAGACTTGCTACTGCACACCTGTTTGATGAGTCTGACATGGTGTAATGCAAGGACCCCTCTCCTCCTGCTGCTCCAGCTCCACTTCCCCAGAGGTGGGAAATCAGATGTGAATTCAGGAGGTTTTTTCTAAGGAACTCTAGAGAGAAAGTTCCAAGGCATGCACAGCCACTGCCTTTGGCAAGTCACTTAATCCACCCTGTAAATGGAGCAGCTCTTGTATGGGTGTTGCAAACTCTTCCATTATTTGGAAGATGGAAGAAAAGCACCCACACAGGGAACTCACAGGGTTTACAAAATGCTTTAGTTCCCTATGGTTGAGAGAATGGGAGACTCAGTATGAAATGAACACTGGAGTGGAGAAACAAATACTTCTGCATGCAAGCAGCAGAAAGCCTGGAAAAGAGAACAAAACCCAACAATGAGAGAACTAACCCTCAACTCATTTTGTTCCCATTAAACAACTAGAAATCCATTTTGCTGCACAAAGGTCAACATTGCATCTAGCTATTTATTATTGTGGCATCTCCAGCCCACAGAAACACCAACATTTCCATCTGTTCCAGCAGCACCAGCCTTAGGACACCCAAGAGGGGCTGCAAAACTCACAGTAACAGACTGCTCAACTTTCTGCCAATTCTGAATGAATCTGTTCACACTGTTAAGGAGGCACAGCATGAGTGGTGCTGCCATGTGTCCAACAGTGGGATGGACAGTTTCATAAAGTTGGGCCCTGCTGGAAAAACTTCCTATCTGATCTGGGTTATCCTGCCTCATTTCTTCTCATTGCCTGGAGTAAATAAAGGAGGTGTAAAGGTCTTCCACTGACTCAAGTAAGACAGCAGGCACTGAGGACTCTCCAAGAGAATGAGGTGCCTGTAAATGTATGTAAAAAAAATGGAGAGGGTGCAATTAGTGCACACTCAGCTCATTAGCTGCCCTGATCTTAATTATCTCTCAAAATTTACAAAGAAGTGGAAGGTCAGCAAATGGATAATTAAAAAAACAGAACAACAAGACTACACAACAATAATCCCCCTGGCCAAAGGGCAGCTTTTCCTCCACAGCAAGCTGGAAGGAGCCAGAGATTATTACAAGAGACAAGGCACCCTCTCTTAGCAAAGAGCTGACAGCTGTCTCATCTCTCAGCAGCCCCACGCAGAACCAGTGATGGCAATGACAGAGGGAGTTTCTGCAAGGAGGCAGGAGCTGAGTCAGAGGAAGCCCCTCTGCATTTCTGATTAAGAATTCAAATTAAATTTACATTTCAGGGATGTTTACTCATTTCTCAGCCACAGACAAGAGCTGATGTTTGTATTTTTTAGCTCAGTATGGAGGAGAAAACTAGTAAAATGACAGACAAGCAGCAATTCAACCACAGCTGTTCAAAAACTGGGTACTTGCTCCCTAGGCTGCTTCAATTGTCAGGGCACAAGGGGACTGTGAGGCACTCCTGCAGCAGCAAGGATGGCTGGGCAGCAGGAATTCAGTGCTGACAGGATGCCAAGACAGGCATCACTGGAGCCCAAATTAGCCAACTACTCAGCTGGATACCAGCAGCCCACTGAAAACCTCTGCTTAACATGCAGGAAAAAATATGAGTGTCAGGACAAGGCTACAAGATGATTTTTATCTCCTCTTGCCACCCACACCATTCTCACTGAGGGACAGGATGCATTTACATTCCTCTAGTCCTCAAATCACCACCTGTATCTGACATATATGAATCTTGCTTTAGTCAGCTAGGTAAGGAACTCTCCAGATTCCTGCATTTGAAACACAAACTCAAGATTTGCAGTCTTCCCCACACTACCTTCTCCCAAACACACACAGTAAGATCATGGTTAGTGTCTTTCAGTTCATTTGATAAACTGACAGAGCAAGGACATTAATATCCAAGACACACAGCTTACACAGTTTCTCTAGCACAGAAACCTAAGTTGGCTAGAAAAAATAAATAGAGAAAATGACTACCTTTACAAGTTACTAGCATCAGACTTGCTTTTACTCTCAGAGCAGTGTCAGAAACAGCCCCAGAGCAGGCCCACCGCTGAGCACTTCAGCTGACATTGGCTTGAAAGGTGTTTTGCTCCCTGTAGTAAAATGTCTCATGAAAATACTGCAGTTTAAATAACACAGAAAAGGAGAGAGAATCACCTGTTGTCAAGTGCTTCTGGTGTTTTTAATGGTACTACCCTAGACTGCACTCACAACCTGGGGTTTACTCCCTGCTGAACCTCTCTGTTCAGCACTTGATCAAACTGGTAAATAGCCAAGGGCTTCTCTTTGAACATGCTCTGAAACCCTAGGTGTAAAGCACACACATATGCTTTACATTCACCTCAGAGTCATTTTGTTAACAAACCTGTAGTTGTTAAGTTGTTGCTTATCCTCAGCAACAACCAGGACTGCAAATCACTTCCTATCAGGTCAGTTTAGGATGATCCTTTACTGCAAATATTCACCACCAGCACTTGTGGTCTTTCCCTGCATTTACAGACTACTACCCTGAATTATTATACATCCTTTGCCAAACCCAGAGATCTAAGAGGAAAACACACACTTCCTGCTCTGAGTTCTCAAACTGAAAAATTATGGTGCAGATAGGGGAGGTTAGAGAGAGCAGAGTCCCTCCCTGAAGTCTGCAAAGGGATCAGAGGACAGGCAGCTAGAAAGGTACTTATGGTACTTATAAATAATAGTTTTCATATTATGTTTCTGCTTGCTTTTTATAAAAGCAGAAAACCAGCTGCACAGAAAACTTCCATGGGACTAAAACAAGACCCATCTGCTGAGCTCTGGAGCTGATTCCATGGAATGACAGCTGTGCCAAACTCTCACCTGGTCACAGCTCAGCCCCATTCAGCTTCAAGGTTGCTGTTTCACTGTCTGCATCCCGAGATTCCTGCTGCAAGTGAAGGTCTGGTTCCACCACTTCAGCATTCCCCTGCTTCCCACTGGGCTGAACATACAAGGCTGAAGGATTCAGTTCCTCAAATTCCTAGAACAAATGAAAACCATGGCAGAACAGTAAAAAACCTCTACATTGTAATTACCACAAAGAATAAAAGGATGCAGCAAATCTCTAACAGGTCAGCAAATGGGTGAAGGTGCACAACACCAAGAGTTAGCTCCAAATTCTTGCAGAAATGGCCTTATTAAGGAAACCAACTCCTCTTTTGCCAGCAGCAAAATTTCTCAGCAATGCCCCTCTCCCCCAGAATTTGGCCTACACATGCAAAGATACCATCACAGGATCTAATCCTGCCAGAACATGCATTCTGCATCTGCTGAATAAAACAGATAGAAGCACTCCAGGCTGTGAAACTCAGCTTTCTGCTGAAATATAAAATCATGGCAGCACCTTTCCAAGGGTTTGCATAATCCACACTGTTCTTACTGGAACTGAGCTGACATATGGAAACAATGCCACAGGTAAAAGCACAAATGATCTTACAACTGGTGTGACAGTAGGCAATTACCATGGTTATGCCATCCAGCACTGTACATTTCACTGGCAAAATATGACAGTTTGTAAACCAAACCATTTCCATACCAACTTTTAATCCATTGCTAGAAGACAGGCTGAAAACAGTTTGTTCTACTAAACAGAACATCTCTGCTGTACCACCAGACTCCACCTTAACCAAAAAGCAAGCTCCCCACACAGAGTTAGGGATGCAGTCACAAAATGAAAAGCCACAGGAAAGCAAGGAATACCAGTTTTGCTCTTCACAAAACCACTTGCTTCAAGATAAGAATCTTCCCATTAAGAACCTTCCCATTTACAGGCACCCCAGCAGGGATCCTTTCCTTCCCCTTCCTTTCAGCAGCACTCGCCTCCCTCCTGACCTGGGAAGGGATGTTCTCCCCACAGACATCAGCATATCCCATATCCCTCAGGACAGAGTGGAAGTAGACATCCTCCTTGGTGGATGTGTCACACAGGAAGAGGTACAGAACTCCATCCACGTATTCATCCACGATGCCCACAAGCTCCTTGAAGCGACAGAGATGCTTGAACAGGAGAATTGCTGCGCTGGACCACGCACCCTGAAGAGGAAACAATGTAAAGTCACCAGAAAACAGACCAATATCCACCACCTGAGACTTTTCCTTGTGGTGGGCACTTCTCAAAAGCCAACTGAGCTAGGCCAGGCTAGTGACAAATACAGCAAAGTCAGGCAGACAAGCTTCTCTGCATGAAACTAATCCAAACTACCCCAAAGCCTGCAATTCTCATTACACTGGGAATGCCCTAAATACCTACTTCCAAACATAGTTCCATGGCATTCACCAGTGATTTTATCCCAATTGCCTAAAATACAGTTGTTTGTTGGGATCTTCTTTTTTACTTCCTGGAATCACAAGACTTTACAAGCATTAAAAGTATCAGAACTTAATAAGATGCTGCTAAGCCTCATCACAAGGAAAACTGTGATTAACCCTCAAAACCCAAGGGGAAAATAACTTTTTAAAAGCAACATCCTTAAAAACACACAGGCAGCAACTCTGCTCACATGCTTTCCTTCAGAGACTGTACTTCTCAGGCTTCTTGACCAAGAAATTTCCCATCACAGAGAAACTTTCTTATGACCTCTCTAACTCTGGCTGTGCTAACTGCATCAAACCAACTCACTTAAAGCTCTGTTACAGAAGAAGTTTTTAAAACAGAGGGTTGGAGCTACCAAGGCTTCAGAAGGACCTTGTGGAACTACTGGCAGGGAGAGGAACAAGTTTGCTGTGCTGCTTAACAGGAGCCATCTGTTTCTGCAGGAACATAAACAAGAATGCTCTGATGGCAAGGAAACCACTGCAAGGGTGATTGCCTCTAGAGCAGACACTCGCCCAGCACACTCTGCTGAATGTAACAGCACTAATTCTGCTGTAAATATCAACAGGACCTGACTTCATCCAAATGTTTGCCCTTGGCAGGAGAAAAAGACAACCTCTACTTGATAACTTCTCTACATATGTCAATAAACAGAACTGCATGTGCACACCTACCTCCACGGGTTTTACCCATGCTAAGGAACATGGGATGGCCTGAGCAGGGAGCTTCAAGTAGTGCCACCTACAACACAAAGCAAAAACATTACAGCAGAGATAATGATTCTATGATCAGGGATAAATCAGCAGAAGAGCAGAACTTCCTCCTCTTCTGGGTTTTACGACCAGTTTAGGAATGCAGAAGTATACATTGGATTGTGCACTCATGACTAAAACCCAAAGGAACTTCAGAAAACACTCCATACCCAGAGAACAGTCACAGCAAAACCAGCAATAACAACTGGTCCCTTATGCATTCCCTGGCCCAAGCACCTTCCCATCAAAACCCCTTGTGGAGACAAAATTACAGATGGAGAACCTTGACTTTTGAACCCAAGAATGCCAACAGCCAGACACAAGGAGAGGCAAAAGAGGGGAAAGGCACAAATATGGACAATGTGCTGAACTGCAGGGAAAAAGCACCCCTGGCATTGCACACAAGTGCTACCTGGGGGGTGTGCCTTCAGGAGAATGTGTATATCCATCCATGCAACCCAGGAAGGAGATTAGGGAGCTTGCCCCAAGGTGACAGACAGCAGCTGAGGACAGACTGAAGAGTGAGGGCAGACACAGCAAAGGATTTAGCAGTGTACCCCAGGGGCCCGTGCTGGGTCCAGTATTGCTCTAGGTCTTCATCATCTATCTGGGGGATGTTGGGGAGTCTACCCTCAGTCTGCTGGTGACACAAAACTGGCAGGAGTGGCTGATGCCCCAGAGGGTCAGGTTGCCATCCAGACAGATCTTGACAGGACAGAGAAATGTACAGACAGGAACCTCACAAAGTTCAACAAAGTCCTGCACTTGGGGAAGAACACCACCATGCACCAGCACAGTGTGGACCAGCTGGGAAGTGACATTTTTACCAGGAGAGTGACCAAGCCCTGGAATGGGTTGCCCAGAGAGGTCATGGAATCATCATCCTTGGAAACATTCAAAAACCATCTCAGCATGGTCCTAGGCAGCCTGGTCTAGACAGCCCCACTACAGCAGGGAGCTTGGACAGGATGACCTCCAGAAGCCTAATCCAACCTCAGCTGCTCTGCAATTCTGCTGCCCATGGGCAATTCACTTACTTGAGGAATCTCAGCCAAGACTTCTGGACAATCTGGAGGTGTCCATAGTCTGCATAGAAGACCTCTACCTCCTGGTCATTGATCACACGGTGGATGATCACACGGTACCACCACTTGGAGACCATGACACAGCAGAGCTGCCCGGGCCGCACTGCAGACTCAGGCATGATGTATTTATCAGAAGCAACTTTATGTGAGTAAACGTGTCTGCAAAAGATAACAGTGAGAAACCAGCCTCAGGAGGTGCAGGAGATGAACAAGGAGAAATATATGGGGCATCAAAAGAATCCTGACTTTTTAAAGTCCCCATGACATGAATTTTCAGGATTTGTATTAATAGATCCTTTATATCTCTGTTCTGTTGTACTTAAAACTGAAATAGGAATCAAATTGCAACCCCAAACTTTTAACATTTGAATGATGCTTTTGGGGTACAACAAAAAGTTAGTTAATGGAGATTAATCAGAGGCTAAACACAGACATCCTAATCATTACTTTTTTACCATTACCTTGACACATCAGCATTTCTCATGAACCAGGCTCTGCAGTACTGCCCATGTGCAGTGTTGGAGGTGGAAGTAAAAGCCTTAACTGAGCACATTTAACAACAGCTGCACAGACAAGACACAGGAACCCTCCAAGCTCCTTTCCATAGCCCTTCCAGGCTTACAAAGTTCAGAACTGCTAGGACACAGACAAACCACAGGAACTGCTGGTGACCACACTAATTGCTTGTTAGTTAAAAGGGATGCACATTTTGAGTAGTGCTTCAGGACAGCACCAGCACCTCTGCACCAAGCCACGAAGCCAGCAGTGACCATGACCAAGAGCTGGGTGCCCTGCTCCCTCAGCACAAACACCCCTGCACTGCCACAGCATGCTCCCACCTCATCTCAAACATCAGATCCTGCAGTTTATAGGATGCTTCCGTGCTGCAGACGTGGATGTAGAACTGGCTAGGAGAGACGACGAATTCCACAATGACTCCCACCAAGCACCTTCTCTTCAGAGGGGGCAAACTGCAAAGGCTTCTGTCCTGAACAGCGTCTGGAGGGATTTCTGGAGTCGGTGGAAACTGCTCAAAACCTTGATGCTACAAGGGGACAAGGGGGAAGTGGCACTCAGATGTCTCGTCATGCACTGAACACACATAATTGGCCTTTCCATTAATTTAAAACATAGTTCTGCTTTCCTGGGGACTTGTGAATTACTGAGTATCAGAGAATCCCCACAAACTGGGCAAACTTCAAACATGGAAACTTTCCCTGTGATAGAAACAACCATTTTCACACTCTCTTTCTTTCTTCCCTCCAGTGTTAAGAGGGGTGCAACAAAAATACTTTGCTCATATTCCTGCAAGGACTATAGGAGAGGAATTGAAGTCAGGTCATATATTTAGACAAAAACAGTGAATAACTATTGCTTAAAAAGCAAAACAAAAATCAAACCCCAAACCCAATCCACCTCTTAGATGGATTTTACTGAAAAGTTATTATTTCTATACTCTATGACTGTGAAAAAGTACATGATTGAACCAGCAAAACTATCTGAAAATTATTCTAAGTGACAGAAGGCATGAATGCATCCCACTTTCACACTAGAGCTGCTTCCCAAAGACACAACCAGTTACAATCTAAAATTTCTGTTCTTTTCTCACTTTAGACAAATTTGTACAAGTGAGCTCTTTGAATAGCTTTCAATTTGTCATTATTATAACTGCTGAAAACATTATTTCACTTGAAGTAGTATGGATGGGAGCCTTAATCCAACATCAGCTACTTGCACTGCCTCAAGAGCTTTCTTTTGTGCCAGCAGACAGCACTGGAGACAGTGATTAAAGTCAAAAACACTTCAATTTCACTCATTGTGAGCACAGTACAAATTATCACTGCATCACACATCAGGCAAGGTGTGGGCAATTCATATTCCAGCACACTCCCTGCTGCTTATTTCTAAATTCAACTCAAAACAACGGGGTTTTGCAATAGTGGCTCTCTTAATCACTTTGTAAAGGTGCAGATCACAGAATCATAGAATATTCTGGGTTAGAAGGCACCCACAAGGATCATCAAAGTCCAGCTCCTAGATCTGCAAAGACCACCCCAAGAATCCCACCACGAGCCTGAGAGCATTGTCCAAATGTTTCTTGAATTCTGGCAGGCTTGGTGCTGTGACCACTTTCCTGGTCTCTCCTTGTGCAGACTGAGTAAAGCCTAATGCCCTTCAATTTTTTGGAGCTAGAAATTTTGACTAAAACATTTGAGTTAAACAGTGAGTTAACATTTTTGAGTCTAGGAGCAACTGAGGGAATTCTGGCCTGAGCAGCAGCATCACCTCTAAAAACCCCTTACAATTTCACAAATTTTCTCTATGTATTCCTGTGAATGGTGGCATTTCTAAGGGACAATTTTGCTCTGATAAACCTCTTCAGATCAGAGTGTTAAGGGCACACATGAACTTTATATGCTTGCTCACATATGTTAGCGACAACAGACATTTCTTTGAAAGACTTATGGGGATGTGCACTTGAAAAGAAGCTCACAAAATACAACAAAGCTATAAAAAGATAAAGCAAGAGTATAAAATCAGACTTTATAAGAGGTATGACTTGCAAGAGGGGCTGACTCTTTGCCCCAAGCTGGACTGGCAGCTGCCAAGAGTGGTGTGGGTGACACTTTTCCTTCTGTCACAGCGAGAAAAAGCAGCTCCTGAGAGCAGCAGCTCTGTCTTCTTTATCCTTCTTGGAACTGAGCAGATGGACTCAGCCTTGTGCCCCACCTGACCCTGAAAACACTTCCAGGATACCAGGGCAGGGATCAGGCTGCATCTTTCCCCTCTACATTGCAGCATCCTGCTGAACAAATGCCCAGTGCACACCCAAACAAACACATCCTAGACTGCTTTCCTCCTCTTTAGAGCTTTTTAAAAACAAAACAGCATACATGGTGTTTCATGACAAACAGGAGTTGTACAAACATCTTGCAAGTCTTTCAGGATCTTTAAATGGGTTCCTTCTGCAATACCTAGGGACAAAAATCTGGGGCTGCCTAGACCACATCCCCTCTTTCACTGCCTTCACACAATCAAACTTGTGGCTTGACCCAGGGAAATTCCCTGTGGACCTCATCACACCAAACCAAAATTTCTTTAAAGGATCAGAACAGGCTGCCAAAAATCTCTCAAGTGCTACACAAAGTCCAACTCATAGTTCCAGGCTTCCAAGCTCATTAGCACACAAAACACCAAAGTCAGAACCCGTGGGATTCTTTCCCTGCCTCTAAGCTCCAGTTGTACAGCTGGGTATAGCCACAAGACAATCTTGGCAGAGGAAACAACTCTAAGCAGTAGGATTTTCCTGGGAAAAAGAAGGCCCAAAGGCACTCAAAAGAAAAAAATAAAGGAGGTATAAACAAACTCTGTCAAAAAGATTTGGCAGTTCAAAGCCTCTACACTGCTATTCTCCAGCCCTTTCTAAAACCACACTGCTAAACAAAACAAAATAAGGATAATTTCCTACCAAATAGCAGACTTGAGACTGCAGGAATCAAGGTCACTGAGGAACATTCCCCAGCTCTGTCCAGCTGGTTGACACTGAAGCCCTGTCAACAGCAGCAGGGGAAATTTCACACAACTGGTCTCAAAACAAAGTTATCAAAGGCCAGTTACAAGTAACTATATCAAAAGGTATCACCACTCTTGTAAGCCAGCAAGATAACACTTAACTGGCCTGGGATGATCTGACAGACCTCAAGATCAGGAGGAGAGCAGAAAAAGACTGACTTTGGGTGCCACATAAAGCTATCCACCAGCTCACTAGGAGCCTCCTTGCCTCCAGAGACATCTAAAACAGCTACAAAAATGCTTGGAAGCAGCAGGGCCTCAACAAAGCAAACTCAACAGAAACAAAGATAGAAAAAAGAGTATCACCCCTTGAATCTGACATGGCAAATCTACAGATCATTTGTCCAGCCACTTACCTGCTTGAGGTGATCACCCAAATCTACTGCTTGTGTTTGCACTGCCTCTGAATCCATCAGAGCTGCTGCCTGGCAGAAGCTGTTTGTTTCACAGGTGGGTTCCAAAGAAGGCATCTCAGCTGCAGATGCTGCTGCAAAGACAAGAATTTGGCTGTTATTCCTTGTTGGACTGATACAGTGTTGCACATTAAGCAGAAAGGGAAAACATCAAAAATGGAAGTCTGAAAGCATTGGTGTTGTTTTCCTCAATACTTGTAGCATTCACAGCCACCACGTTCATGAGGATTTACTGTGTCAGTAAGTTAAAATGAACCAAGAATCACTTGCTCTTGCAAGCAAGCTGAAGGTTAAAACCCATTGCTAGAATAATGTTAAAATGTATTTTCCCTGGAAAAGCTGTGAATTTGGCAGGAACTGTGATTATCCACCCTCTCCCACAGGTTTTATGGGAATGATGAGGGTGTCTGCCTCTTTGTGGAACACTGTAGCCATGCCTTTCAGGCCACTGTTAAATCTTCAGTCTCAAGAAGTGTATGGCAAAAGCTTTACCAGCCTGCAGAGCAGACACTGAGAAGATCCTTCTAGTTTTTTCACCTATCACCTGGAATGATATGTGTAGGACTAGAAATTCCAGTCCTACACACACATTCAGCAAGTCCATACTCTGAACGGGCTAATCAGCCCTTCTTTCACCTCACACTGCAAAACAGTGCCAAAAACCTTCCCGTTAAATTCTCTGCAACCAAGACAACTGCCTCGTGCCAGCTGCTTCTGCAGCACTCAACAGCCCCTCTGTGCCCAAGCCCAGGGGAATCAGGACTTCTGCAGCAACTGCAAATGCAGCAACAGGAACCTGAAAGGCAGTTGTTGGCCACAGAGCTTGGAAGAGCTAGGTGCTTTCAGTTAAAAACACCACCTCACCTTGCAGCATCTCTTCTTCCTGAGCCTCACCTTGCAGCATCTCTTCTTCCTGAACTTCACTTTGAGGCACCTTCTCTTCCTGAGCCTCACCTTGAGGCTCCTCCTCCTCCTCCTCAGCTTCACTCTGAGGCATCTCTTCTTCCTCAGCCTCACCTTGAGGCACCTCTTGCTGTTCTATCTTGCTTGCCAGGTACTTCCTGAGGACCAGCAAGGAACCTGCCTTTGTTTGCTCAACGACAATGGAATCAGACATGCTCCTGAGGACCTCAAACATGGACAAAAAGCCGTACTGCCGGTACTGGAACGCGCGGCCAAAGCGCCTGAGGAAGGCCTTGTCCAGGTCTGCCAGCAGAAGCGGTGAGGAGCTCAGCAGGTCCTGCAGCTCAGCCTTCACCCCTGCTGGCAGGACAGGAGTCCCAGCACTCAGAGCCTGGAAACTCTGTGGGTTCTTCGAGTTCTTAGTGAAAAAAGTAGCATTTGCCTTCGCAGCGGTTTTCTTCGATGCCTTACGCGTCTTTACTTTCTGGTTGGCAACCAGCTTGGCAATCCCTTTGGTGGAGTCATCTGCAATGGCTGCAACAGAAGGAAATAAACAGACAACCAGAACAATGAACCATCAAAAAGCTCTACACTGCCAAAGCCCCTCTTCGTTCCTTTTCCCCTTCTCCACATCCCTTCCAGAAGTTGTCTCCTTCAAAAGCAATCCCACTAAACCATGGCTGATTTCCAGCAACCTTTGCAAACTGAACTGAACTATTTTTAAAAGCCAGCAACCAGTCTGCACCCTCATCCCCAGAAATTCAGACCAGGCAGGAAGGCAGGTCAAATTCTTGGATGCAGGATCACAAACAAGAACCAAGCTGCTGAGAGTTTTGCTGGGAAAGCAGAATCACAGTAAACTCTCACTACAGAGCACCCCTGCCCAAAGGTCTCCCTGGAGAACAGCCCAGGTCTTTTCCAAGCTTCTAAACAACTTTTTCTTGTGTTACTGTAGCACTCAAAAAGCCCCCAGCCATTTCACCCTCCCCAATCAACTCTTTGCAACTGCCACTTGTTGTCATAACTGTTCCCCAAAGAAAAAGAAAATTAAAAAGGTTCTTTGATACAGGCTAAGCTGCCTTCCTTGTCAGGTACAGAAACCTTCACAGCTCCTCTTGAGAGGCCCCATCCCTGGTTTTGGCTCCTGCTGTAGTTTGCATTTACAGGAAAAAGTGATACTTACCAGTTCTAGTGTACACATAAGGAAATGTTATGTCAGCTTCTAAACCAAGAGCAGAGTGAAAAAGTGTACAAAAATAACCAGAAGCATGGGTGACTTTTTTAGGAGGGAAGAGCACAAAAGTGTTAAAAAGACAGATCAAAATACAAGAAGAAATATCAAAGACAAAAAATTAACCAGATTCACATGAGAAAGAGATGAACAGATATGTGACATACAGTTCTGCACATCTGAACATCACTCCAGTATGAGGCTCCAAAATACTCCTCCACCCATTTGGAAACAAAACCTCACCTTTGAGGATTACAGCGCCATTCTTGGAAGAGCAGATTTGGACAACTTCAGGCATTTGTGTCACCAGCTCCAAGGTGGACTGGAAGCCCAGGTCGTGCAGAGGGAGAGGCTTGCAGACCATGGCCATGTACTGCTCCTCCAGCTGCTCCGGCGTCAGGCCCGCCTTGGCAGCGATCAGCATGGCCCTCACCTCCTTCTTCAGCACCTCCATGAGCTGCGCCCGCCTCAAAGCCTCCGAACTAAAGGGGAACACAAGCAAGCAGGTGACAACTCGTACCACAGCTGCTCGCCATCACGTGGAATTTTAGCTTTTCCCCCACCTAGCACCTGAAAGCCGGCAGCAGGTTCACGAAGAACCCGCGTATTCACCTGCCAGCACCCCTGGAGTTTAATGCACCCTTAAACCTCTGCCAGTACAGACACCCTGCGCGTCCATACTGCTGCCCGAGGACACCCCACCCAGCGCTCCTCGCAGAAACCCCTGTGAGCCCCAGCGCGGGGGTTCGCCCCTCAGCCCCGCAGGGCGTCCTTCCCCCACAGGGATCCCCGCTCCCCTCAGCCCCATGCCAGGCCCCCCGCCCGCTCCCACACGCACGGCGCCATGGCTCCGGACCGCCGTGCGCCTGCGCGCCGCCTTTCCCGCCTTTCGGGGCGCGAGGGCAGGGCGGGGCCGCCCCTCGCCCCCTCACCCCGGCCCGGGCCGCCATTGCTGCGCCGCTGAGGGGGAACGCTCGACGCCGCCCTCAGCGCTGAGGTGGGTGGGCTTTGTGCTGCCTCGGAGCGGCCGCGGGATGCTGCCCCTACCTTCTTCAAAAAAACAACCCAAAAAAATCCAAAAAAAACCCTAAAAAAAAAAAACCCACAAAAAACCAAAAAAAAACCAACCCCCCCCCAAAAAAAAAAACCCCAAAAACCCCAAAACAAGAAAAAAAAAAAACCACCCCCAACAACAAAAAAACCCCAAACAAACAAAAACACACACACACCCCAAAAAAACCCCAACAAAACACAAAACCAAAAAAGCCCCACAAAAAACGGTTGGAGAAGATCTCTGCGATGATCGAGTTCGACCCAACACCCTGAGGTGAGCCAGACCAGAGCACCGAGTGCCATGTCCAGTCTTTCCTTAAACACCTTCAGGTGCTGTCCCCACCTCCCTGGGCACCCTGTTGCAATGTCTGACCACTCCTTGCTGTGAAGAAATTTCTCCCTAGTCCAGCTCAAGCCTCTCCTGCTGCGGAGGGAGACTATGTTCCCTTGTTTGCCTGACCCCCCACCTGGCTACACCCTGCTGTGGTTGTGGTTGTAGAGGGTGATAAGTTCTCCCCTGAGCCTCCTTTTCTTCAGACTGAGCTCCCTCAGCTACTCCTCGTCAGACTTGTGCTCCAGACCCTTCCCCACCTCCATTGCCTTTCTCTGGACTTGCTCCAGAACCTCCATGTCCTACTGTTATTAAGGAGAGTCTTGTATTTTGTAAGAGGAGTCTTGTATTGTTAGGAGTCTTTTTTTTTTTTTTTTTTTGTCCCATCTAAGAGGAAAATCCACAGTGGAGACACAAAAAGCATGTTAGGAAAGAGCCACACACAGAACATGACCAGTTCCTTCAACGTGACAATATTTAAAACCAGATGTGGTTATTAAGAGGAGTCTTGTATTTTTTTCAGTCCCATCTGAGAGGAAAATCCACAGAGGAGACATTGACTTTCCAGAGGTCACAGGCTGTAGTTAAAGAGAGGTGCAGTGGCTCTTTCCTAAGGGCTCACAGATATCTGAAAAAAACCCTCAATTGTACAGCTGATTTCCACACAGGAGTATTTTGAGACTAAAACAGGGGCTGAACTTGTGAATTTTGGGACACCCATCAGCATGTGCTCTCAAAAAATCTCCTCATTTCAAAAGATAGCAACGAAACATCTGCTATGCATGGTGGAGTCAGGACCCACTGGTTGAATAAAACATCAGACAAAACCAGCATGTTGCAGGTTTGGAGGTGTTAAACATGCCAGGGTGCTTTTGACAAGACACCAGCTGGAATCCAAAACCAGACCTGAGCTGCCTTTTGCTGTCACTGCTTAAAACACCACCTGCCTTTTCAGCAGCTGGAGACCATCTCCACCAGTCCCATGTTGGCCAAGTGATAGACACAAAGTGGAAAGGGTTTCTGGAGCACTTCCAAAGAATATATACTGTATAAATTTATTAATTACACCCCATCCACACCCCACTTTTCTCTGCCTTTAGCCCTTTCCATCCATCACTTCCCTGCTGACCTGCTGACACGGCACCAGCACAGCAGAGAAAGCAGGCAGCTGCTGCTCCTGCCCTCCCTGCCTGCAATATCCTGACTCCAGGTGGAGCACAAGTGTCCAATAAAACAGGAATCTGTGAAAAAACAAGATCAGCACCTCCCCAGCTGTCTTCCCAGCTCCCTCCAGCCACTCCTCCACACCAGGGACTGGAAAAATCCCTGAGCTCAGCCCTGCCCTGCTTTATGTCCCAGGTGTGTCTTTCTGTAGGGCAATTTCTAGCTGGGTGCTGATTTCTTTAGTACAGTTGGTGACTTTAAAAGTGTTTCTTCCACAAGTTTCTGCAGATGTCAACACAGGCTGAGCAGCATGAAAAGAGAATGCTCCTGTTTGCTCTGCCATGCTGCTGCTGTGGAAAACTAGGGAGGCATTTGGGCACAAACTCTTTTGGCAGTTTGCAATTCAACAGCTCTAACTCTGCGATGGCTCTCATATTAACACCCATTCAGGAAAGCTGGGACCAGTTACTTTCCCTCCTTGCTAAAATGTGACCCTGAGGAGAGGGGGGTTGCTGCCTGTGCCCCTTCAGAGTGCCAGCCACAGGGCTGCTGGGGAGCAGAGCAGTGTGAATGGCACTTACCCAGACGTTCACCACAACAGCCCCTGCAGCCACTCCTGAGTAAGCCACAGGTCTCACCAGCAAAGGCTTTTCACCCTGGTGTCTATTCTGGGCCACTCTCACCTTTTGATCTCTTTGGGTGATAACCAAATATAGTTGATAACTGCCTGACAGTTACTTTTGGGTTGCTTTTCAACAGCTTTGCAGAAACTATCTACTAACAATCACCGGAATGCTTCTGATTACATTCTATTTCCAAAAGCATAGATGCAAGTAGAATATCCTCCTGGGGTCACCCTGTCCAGGTCGAACTTTCCTTCCCATCTCCACAGCAGTGCATGATGACAGCAGAGCAGCTGGAAACAGCTTGCTCACTTCACTGTCCATTATGCCTGACAAGCCTAATGTGATGAACATTGAAATGAGCCTCCCTGATGTGACACCTCCCCTTCTCTCCTCCCCTGCCTGCTTTTCCTGCCTGCAGCAATAAATTCGAGCACGTTCTCATTCTAGCCCCCGGGCAGCTGCGTGCTCCTCGGCACAGATGAGGATGGAGAAGAGGTCTCGGAGCTCTTCCAGGGAGTCCCACAGGAGACGCAGGGAGTCCCCGGCTGCGCAGAGCAAACGGGAGAAGAGGGAGAGCAGCAGAGAGGCTGCCAAAGGGAAGGGAGATGTAAAGCAGGAGAAAGCCAAGGAGACCAAGAGCACTGTGGAGAGTGATGGCAGGGTGCACACCTCCACGGTGGTGGACGTGGATGATGTGGTGTCTGATGAAGAAATGGAGGCGATGGCATTGCTGGATAGTGAGCAGCAAGAGGAAGGTATGGCTTAAAGAAGGGAAGGGGTTGGAAAACTGTGGGCTCTTTGCTGCTGCGTGGGTCACAGTGTGACTGCTCTGGTGGGTGTCATCACACCCAGCTTACACAGGTGTAGTTATCCTCAGGATAGGATATGGAGACTCCAGCTGGCCTCCCAGCCAGCCCCTGCAGGCTTACTAGCACCATCCAGCAAAGCACTGAACCTGGATACAAGCAGTTGCATTCCCAGCATCCTTCATGCTTCAGCTTGCTACTCCCCAGTTCTGTTCATGCTCTGGTCTCTTCCTTTTCTTGCTTGGCCTCCTTCGGGTGGATGGCACTGGCCTCACTGCCAGTTCATAGCCCAAAGGACCTCGCTGCAGGGAAGAACTGCCCTTGAGGTGCACACTTGCCACTCACCTGCTGGATAACCTTTAAGAGCAGCTCCTCTCCTCGTGTTTGTTAGGACATTCCCAGCCTGCTACAGTAGAAGGGAGCATCGTCATCCTTTTGGCAATACAGCTGGGCCTGTTTGGACCCAGCATCACCACAGGCATGGCAGATGTCTATAACAAGAGGCAGCACCACTTGTGCCCTTCCCTGCTGGCACCTCTGCTGCCCCAGAGTGACACAAAGGTTCAGACTTGCTCCTGACTCCCTGGGAACAAGCTTTTCACAGCTTCATCTTTCTGCCTCCATTACAGGAATTACAGCTATTGGGCAGTGCTTAGGAGCTCTAGTGACTACACAGGTTCTTAGGATCTGAAGCTCCCTCAGGACCTGGTGGTCCTATAAAATATTTCAAAGGCAGAGGAGCAGGGATGGAAGGGTTGGAAGGGATTAAAAATGGGAGGGGTGCTAACTTCACAGCTGGAAATCCTGATCCACTCCCTGGTTCCATCTGTTTTCATGCCATACCTGCCATTTTTTCCCTCAGAAAGGAGCCCAACAAAGAGCACCCAGAGCAAGATGACCCACACTCACTTTGGGGAGATGTAGAATGTAATAATAATCTGGGCTGACCATGCCCATCAGCCTCCAGCACCCTGGGGTGACTTCTTAGAATACAGGAAGATTTTACTGGCACCAGAGGCTTCATCCCACTGCATTTGGGAGATGGGATGCAACTAGAATCCTATTCCAAAACAATCTGAAATACTCTGATAGAGAAGGGCACTTCAGGCTGTGCATGTTTAAAGCTCTCTCTTATTTACAATATTTGTCTTTAGCTCATCTTTCCAGATAAACTTGAGGGATCCCAGCTCAGCAAAGTTGCCCATTCCAACGTTCAACGCTGCTTTGTAGCCCCAATTCTTCAAGATGAAGTCTGCTTTCTACTCAAGCAACCATGGAGAAGCATGGCTCAGTTTTTGTCAGTAAAGCAGAGACAAAATCTATCCCTCTATCCTTGCTACTCCTGGCAATCTGGAGCAGGGAGTGTTCCTTAACTCACCTCCAGAGAGAGCCAAGTGGTTCATTTACAGTGAGTCCAGGCAAAGGACAACAGTGAAGCTGATGTGTGCAGGCACTTGTCAGGCTATCAGTATTTTGGGAGCAGTCCTCTTCTAACACACTGTTGTTGGGTTTTTACCCTAGGTGGAAAGTCTCCTGGTCTGGGTGTCTGTGAGTGGCTTTTGACCATCTTGTCTTTCCTGTTCATCATAATGACCTTCCCCATTTCTGTCTGGTTCTGCATGAAGGTGAGAATAGCCATGGGGCCTTACAGGATGTGGTGTCTGATCTGGATGTCACACACTGATTCAGCATGTGTTGGACATGAGCAGAAAGGGTTTTTTGGTATAAGGCCCCTATTTATACCTCTTCAATTCGTCATTAATTTTGATTTGTCCTTTATGGCATGTTGCTACAGCACAGGGGTCCAACCATTGCTTATCAAATACTCCTGCTGAAATACCAGCAGGAAGGAGCTAAGGTTTCTCTTAAAAAAAAAAATAAAAAAAATTACAAGTCAGTTCACTTTCAGACATGTCCCTCAGCCTACCTAGTCCAGACATGGCTGCATTACTGCAGAAGAGTAAATAGGCTTTAAATTCCAAATTTTAAGAGAGATTGATCTCTCAATTAATAGCAGGTTTCCCCTCTTCCTCTTGTTTTTATTCAGCATGGCTACAAGTAGGCACTTGTAGGCTTGTTCCACAAGCAATGTGGAACATTTTAACTCAGGTTATTTAAGTTTAGCCAGGCTATAAGGAAGCAAAATGCTGGATCATCTTGGGAAACCCTGGGTGGGTCTAACATGGGCTGCTCTCACCAAATCTCTGTCTGTCACAGGGCTGCTCATATTCAAGGCTGGCCAGCAGTTCTGGGCAAAGGGTAAAGTGACTCAGTGACAGGCAATGCCACAACTGCTGAAATCCTCCCTTTGCAGGGCTTTTCCAGAATAAACTTCCTCCCGTGCTGGTGAGGCTGCTTTTCCCAGTCCCACTTCTTCCTCTCCAGCCTGGATTTGGTTCCCTCTGCAGGTGGTGCGGGAGTATGAGAGAGCCATTGTTTTCCGGCTCGGGCATCTCCTTCCTGGCAGAGCCAAAGGACCCGGTAAGGTGTTTACTGAGCTCCTCCCAGCCACGCTGCTCCTCTTCTGCATGCCTCACCAGAGCTCACATGCTGGTGCCCTCCAAGCAGACATGGCCAGACAGAAGATTTGATGGTTTTTATTCCCTTCCTTTAAGGGCCAGTAGTTTCTGATGGCTTTTCCATCACAGAAACAGCCTGAAAGTTTGAGCCTATGTATTGCTATTCTTTTGTAGTTCTGCATGCTGAACCCTCTCCTGTTCTCCAAAACAGAAGAGGTAATTTTTGTAGTTCTGATGATGAACCTGCTGTCTTTCTCTTCCTCCCACAGGCCTTTTCTTTTTCCTTCCTTGTTTGGACACCTATCACAAGATAGATCTCCGCCTCAAAACCCTAGAGATTCCCTTCCATCAGGTATGGCTGACAGAATTCTGGAATGTTAAATCTATGCTTCCAACCTTCATCCTTGCAAAGAAAAATTTCAAAAAACATCTCAAAGTAACCTCTACTTTGCCCAAGATCAGTCAGTAGCAGAGGTGGAAGCTACAAAGACTTAACCATTCAGCCAGTTTTCATAATTCTCTCAGTTGTGTGCTTTTCTGTGCTGCCTTAGAGTTGCCAGAACCAGCTCCATCTCCCCTAACATCTTCTACTTAGGTGGTGACCAAAGACATGGTTACTTTGGAGATAGATGCTGTCTGCTACTACCGGTTGGAAAACGCCTCTCTTCTCCTCACCACGCTGACCAGCATCTCCAGTGCCATCCAGCTGCTGGTGCAGACCACCACAAAGCGACTCCTGGCACACCAAGCCTTCTCTGAGCTCCTGCTGGAGAGGAAGAACATCAGCCAGGAGATAAAGGTGCTTCCCTGGGGAGGGAGAGGACAAAGCAAGGGGTGAGTTGAGGCTCCAAAAGAAGCTCAGGTGGCCAGTCCTTCAGAATCACAGGCACTGGTTTGAAGGTTTCCACACTTGGAATCAGTGTGGACTCCCTAAACCCTGGGGTTAACACAAATGGGAAGTGAGGGCAGTCACTTTATTTCTGAGGGGCCTTGCCCAGTAGCACACTGAACCTGATAAATCTGCCTTACAATTAAATCTGTCTTGCAATTAAAGTCCCTGCCCTGTCTTGCTCCCTGTAAGGGGCCTAGGCCAGGGCTGCTGTTCTCCCCATGCTCTAAAAGTACTTGTCTTCACAGGTGGCTTTGGATGCAGTCACAGGCTGCTGGGGGATCAAAGTGGAGAGAATAGAAATGTAGGTAGGAAATGCTGGTAGAAGGGAATTCTCTCTCCCTTTGCAAGTACCTGTCCTGTGCTTCTTGCTGTTACCTGCTCCTCTGCCTGCTTTCCCTCTGGCTCTCTGCCTGCAGGCGTTCTGCACAAGGTAGAGCCTCACCTCCCACCTTTCTATTTTCCCTGCCCTTTTCAGCCTTTGCCTCATGTAAAATTTCCAATGTAAGGCTGTTCTTTCTCCTGGCCTGACAGGCAGAGCAGGATCCTTAGCTGGGATCTCATCACCATTTCGCTGTTGCTGCAGGCAGAGTTTGCACCCAATTCTGGCAGCCCAAAAGGCACAGCAAGGCACTGAACTCTCCATGTCATACTCTAGATCAAAGGCCCTGGGGTCTCAGCACTAGTAGGGATGGGCTCAACACTCAAGTCTGTGCAGAAAGGTTGGGCTCACTGATCACACAGAGGGACATGGAAGAGAGAGCCAAATAAATCTGTGAATGGAACATTACTGTGCCTGTCTTGAGAGCTGTCTCCTAGTGGAGTCTCTGCTGCCTCACAAAGAGTGAGCTTAAACTATGAGCCTCAGAGACACAAAGAGTCTCCTGCTGGCTGGTGATCATCCCTGGTCACTAGAAAACCAGGCTGAAAGAAGATTGGGAATGGAGGTAGAAGACTAAAGTGAGACACGTGAAGAGGGACACCCAGAGGCAAAAGATATGAATGAGCTGCTCTGTAGAGACCAACTGAGCCCATGCCAAGCCTCAGACTGACCACCCAGTGTTGCCAGGAGTGCCAAGAGCCCAGCTAATGCCTGTCTTTACTACCACAGCAACAACGTGCAGCTGCCTGCTGAGCTCCGGCAGTCCCTGGCTGTGGAAGCAGAGGCCCAGAGACAGGCCAAAGTGCGGGTATGCCAACACCTGAACACTTCTCATCTCCTTCCAAAGCATTCCTCCTCCCTTTCCCACCTCTGGTTTGAGGTCCCTGGGACACACCACACAGGCACACAACTCTGGCTTGAGATGTTTCCTTTAATTCCTGAACAAGAGCTGAGTCTAACAAGGGGAGCTCAGTTGTGAGCTCTGATGGGCCTGGTAAAAACATGCCAGACATGAGCTTCCAGACTTCTGGCAGTGCCAAGAGGTTAGTACATGCTGTGATCTTCAAGGAGCAGGAATGTTATAATCACACTGACCCCAAACATTTCATCATGGCAACCTTCCTCTGTAAGTCTGTGCCCCCTCACTCCCAGCCTCACAGAACTTTCCTTCTTGCCCTGCTTGGTAGGTGATTGCTGCAGAGGGGGAAAAAGCTGCTTCCGAGTCCCTGCGGATGGCAGCTGAGATCCTCTCCAGTGCTCCAGCTGCTGCTCAGCTCCGTTATCTCCATGCACTGCACTCCCTTACCACAGAGAAACCTGCTGCTTTCATCTTGCCCTTGCCTCTGGATGCCATGAACCTGGGCTCTTCAGCTACCCACAGCCCTCCAGCTGTGAGCAGCCTCCTCACAGGCACCACAAAGCTCCCAGAAAATCCAAAAGACAAGAAGGACTCACCCATGCTCTGAGAGAAATGGTTCCCCACCTTGCTCCTGCTCAGAAAGGAGCAAGAAGGCTGGCCCACCATCAGGTTCTGACCTGGAGGCAGGAGGAAAGCAGCCCAGGTCTGCAATATAAAGTGGATTGTACATGGAAAAAGCCTCTACTTGTTTTGGAAAAGAAAAAATGTGGAGTGCAAGAAGCAGGCTTGGCAAGTGTGTGAGCAGGGGGTTGAGGGAAGTGGGGTGTCATCCCTTCCCCTCCACAGAGCCAGATGCCCCTTGACACGTTACAGCCTGGCTCCCAGGGTGTGATCCATGTTGCCCCATCACCTTGGAAGGAAGGACAAGACCTTCCCCTATGTCCTTACATGTCCCCCAACCACAAACCAAACAGGCAGGCAGGTGGGAGTGGGAGCACAACAATCTGTGGGGGAACAGCATGCAGGCAGGATGCTGGGTGCTGCCATCCTGGTGGTCCTGCAAGGAGGGAAATGTCCTTTTGGTGTCCTGGATATGGGATTTCAGTAACCACCCACGTACAGCCCCACAACCGAGGCGTTTAGCCCTAGTTCTGAAGCAGGAGGAAAAGGAAGAAGGGGAGAGAGGGCAGCATTTAAAGCTTGGTGCTTCCCTGCTGGGCACATCGGCTGTGCAGAGGAAAGGCTGTGCTGCTGCTCGCTTCCACAGGGTGGTGAGGCAGGACAACCTCTGAGCTCGTGGGCACGTAAAAACCTCAGGGTGAGGCGATGTGTTTAACCAACGCCCACTGGGCTGACACGGTGAATCCGGCACCACAGGCTGAGCGCCTCGGGAAACACCTTTGCCTGCCTGCAGCTGCCTCGGTAATTTTCATACACGGAGAACAACAGAGAGGGTTCTCAAAAATCCTAGAAGCCACAAAACTCCTGAGTATCTTTCCTGCCTTCAGCTGTTTGAAATGGCCAGGAACCTAGAGGTCTTGCAGTCCTTTCCCTTGGCAAAAATCTGAGCTCTGTCAAAGGAAATATCCCTCCACTCAGATTTTCTGATCCTGGTGCCCTTTATGTAGAATCAGCTCTGCTCCTGTCCTTTTACTTGACCTGCAGTTTCTCCCCTTGCATCAAAGCAGATCTCCCTGCATAGCCATTCCCAGCACCACTGTTCTGCTGCTGGTGTCCTGTACAGGTCCAGAGAGAGGGCACTTGGTTGCCTTTCTCTTAATTGCCCCCACATTGTTGGTCATGATGCCCGTGTCTAGCAGGGGATACTCAGCCAGTTGCTCACTCTTGAGTTTTCATTTATTC